GTTTAGTGCGGCAGGGAGGTATTGTAACTCCGCGGAGGACACGACTGTCCACCCAAAGTGTGGAGAGAGCTTCACGTTTGTGAAAATGAATCAGGCGTGGATTAGTCTGGATTTCAAACCACCAGTTCCTGACACAACTGGACTAAATCCGCCATAAATCATGCCTCAAACATGTGCCACTTTCAGGTCTCTCACACACTGCTGGTGTGTTAGCATTTTTTGAAATAGGGTGCTGGCAGATTACGGGCCTCCTATTGCTGCTGCAGGGCTCCTAATTGCCATGAGGCCCATATATAGCTGCCATGTGGTCCAGAGTTAGGTTTATGCTGCTTCTCCACGACTGCCATGGTGTGTTGACATGTGGTGTTGTAGACATTTTTAGAGTAGGTGTTGGCAGATTACGGGCCTCCCTATAGCTGCTGCCAGGCCTCTAATCTGCCAGGGCCCAGTACCGCCTCTCATGTGAGTCTCGCATGCCAGGTCCACAGTGCTCATGCACATGTGCCACTTTCAGGTCTCCTCACATGCTGGTGTGTTCAATTTTTTGACATAGGGTGCTGGCAGATTACGGGCCTCCATAGCTGTGCCAGGCCCCCATAATCTGCCATGGGCCCCATTTATACACGCCTCCTCATGCTGCTGCCAAGTCCAGAGTCTGTCATGGGTCCCTGTCGGCCTCCCATTGTGCTGTTCCATCGCCACACTTGCCATGTGCCACTTTCAGGTCTTTCAACACTGCTGTGTGTGTTTTGGAAATTTTTTGACATAGGGTGCTGGCAGATTAGGGGCCTCCATAGCTGCTGCCAGGCCCCTAATCTGCCATGGGCCCCGTATATACCGCCTCCGCATGCTGCTGCCAAGTCCAGAGTCTGTTTCATGGGTCCCTGTACGGCTCCGATTGCTGCTGTCTCCATCGCCACACTCTGCCATGTGCCACTTTCAGGTCTCCTCACACACTGTGTGTGTGTTCAATTTTTTTGACATAGGGTGTGGCCAGATTACGGGCCTCCATAGCTGTGCCAGGCCCTTAATCTGCCATGGGCCCCTATACGACCTCATCATGCTGTGCCAAGTCCAGAGTCTGTCATGGGTCCCTGTACGGCCCTTCCCATTGCTGCTGTCTCATCGCCACACTATGCCCCCATTGTGCCTGGTCATTAGGTCTCCTCAACACATGCTGGTGTGTTCAATTTTTTGACAATATGGGTGCTGGCAGATTTCGGGCCTCTGCTGTTCAATAGCTGCTTGCCAGGCCCATAATCTGCCATGGGCCCACTATACCGCCTCCTCATGCTGCTGCCAAGTCCTGATCAGAAGTCTGTCATGGGTCCCTGTACGGCCCCTCCCATTATGCTGGCGTCCATCGCCTCACTCTGCACATGTGCCACATTCAGGTCTCTTCACACTGTGGGTGTGTTGAATTTTTTGACATAGGGTGCTGGCAGATTACGGGCCTCCCATAGAGGCTGTTGCCAGGGATAATATGCCTAATCTGCTGCCATGGTGTTTCCCATGTGATATTACCGACCTCATCATGCTGCTGCAAGTCCAGAGTCTGTCATTAAGGGTCACTGTACCGGCCTCCCCATTGCTGTCCTGTAATCCATCGCCACCACTCTGAGGTCATGTGCCACATTAGGTCTCTTCACACTTGGTTTACAATGTGGTGTGTTGAATTTTTTGATACATAGGGTGCTGGCAGATTAAGGGCCTCCATAGCTTGCTGCCTAATTGCATGGGTACCTAATCTGCATGGGCCCCTATATGGGTACCGCCTCCTGTCTCATGCAATGCTGCAAAGTCCTGAGAGTTCTCTCTTGGGTCCCTGTACGGCCTCCTAATGCCTGCTTATATAGTCTATCGCCACACTCTTCCATGTGCCACATTCAGGTCTTTCACACTGCTGTGTGTTGAATTTTTTGACATAGGGAGCTGGCAAGAGATATGGCCTCCCATAGCTGCTGCCAGGCCCCTAATCTGCCATGGGCCCCTATATACCGCCTCCTCATGCTATGCGTGCCAAGTCCACTGAGTCTGTTCATGGGTCCCTGTACGGCCTAATCCATTGGGTATATAGCTGTCTCCATCGCCACACTCTTGCCATTGTGTGCCACATTCAGGTCTTTCACCTGCTGGTGTGTTGAGATTTTTTGAATAGGGTGTGGAGATTACGGGCCTACCATAGCTGCAGCCAGGCCCCTAATCTGCACATGGGCCCTGTTAACGCCTCCTCATTGCTGCTGCCCCAGGTCCACAGTCTCTCATGCCATGTGCCCACTTTCGGTCTCCTCACACTGCTGGTGTGTTGGAAGTTTTTTGACATAGGGTGATTGCTGGCAAGATTACGGGGCCTCCCATAGCTGCTGCCCAGGCCCCTAATCTGACATGGGCCCCTATTACCGCCCTCCTCATGCTGCTTGCCTAGTTCCAGAGTCTGTCATGGGTCCCTGTACGGCCTCCTCACTTGCTGCTGACTCCATCGCCACACTCTGCCAGTGTGGATTGTGCCACATTCAGGTCTCTTCACACTGCTGGTGTGTTTGAATTTTTTGGACATAGGGTGATGGCAGATTTCGGGCCTCCCATAGCTGCTGCCAGGGGCACCTAATCTGCCATGGGCCCATATATCACGCCTACTCATGCTGCTGCCAAGTCCAGAGTCTCGTCATGGGACCCTGTACGGCCTCCCATTGCTGCTGTCTCCATCGCCCACAACTCTGCCATTGGATTTGGTGCCATCAATTCAGGTCCTCTTTCACACTGGCTGGTGTGTTGAATTTTTTTGACATGAGGGTGCTGGCAGAGTACGGGCCACACATAGCTGCTGCCAGGCCCTTAATCTGCCATGGGGCCCCTTATATACAGCGCCTCCTCATGCTGCTGTGCCAAGTCCAGAGGTCTCACATGGGGTCCCTGATGTACGGCCTCCCATTGCTGCTGTCTCCATCGCCACCACTCCTGCCAATGATGCACATTCAGGCTCTTCTTCACACTGTGGTGTGTGAATTTTTTGGACATTAGGGTGCTGGCAGATTACGGGCCTCCCATAGCTGCTGCCTAGGCATCTAATCTGCCATGGGCCCCTATATACCGCCTTCCCTCATTGCTTGCTGCCAAGTCCAGGAGTCTCTCATGGGTACCTGTACGGCCCTCCCATTGCTGCTGCCAGGATGGGCAGCAGGGGTCGCAAGCAGTGTCAGTGGAGGGCAAACGGCCACGGAGTAGGTGCACCTAGCCTACACTGCAGCCTACCACCACGGCCAAGTAAGTGGTTGCCCGGTATGGTGTGTCGACGTGGTTATGTGCTTCGGATGGATGAGTATCAGTCAGACCAGTGAGGAGAAGCTGGGGGCAAAAGTTTCCTACTCGGCGGTGTGGCAAATTTTTTCGTCACGCCGCCCGAGGAAGTAAACATAGCCGTTATGTCGACTATGTGGCCCAGAAAGTCAAGCTGTGGCCAGGTCCAGGGGGCCCATGGATTGGGACTTACAGGGGTTGCGTTCCAGCATATGACAGAGTCGCCATTCGGTGGCCTGGGCAAAACCGTGATAAAAGATTACGGCGGTTCTTGCCTTGCACCATGACCAGGGTACCAATTTTGTCATAGGGTGTTGGCAGATTACAGGCCTCCCAATAGGTGCCGCCAGGCCCCAAGTCGGGCATGGGCCCCCGTCCGCCCTGGTCACGACATGCTGCTGGTCCCACAGTTTTGTGACCTGGGCTCCTGTACGGCCTCCCATTGCTTCCATCTCTGCATGTTGCCACTTTTGATGGCTCTCCTCACACTCCTGTGGTTTGTTTTTATTTTTCTTTTCCCCCTTTTGGACATTAGGTGTGCTGGCAGATTTACAGGACTCCCCACTTGGTGCCGCCAGGCCCCAAATTGGCTCCATTGGGACCCCGTTAACCGCCTTGGTTCACGCTGCTTGCTGGTCCCACAGTGTGACTGGGTCCCTGTACGGCCTCCCATGCCATTGCTTCACTCTGCCATGTGTCACTTTGAGGTCTCCTCACACTCTTGGCCATGTGCTTTTCCATTGGTCCCACATTGACCTGGGTTGCTGGCAGATTACAGGCCTTTTGACCATAGGTGCCGCCAGGTGCCCCAAATCGGCCATGGGCCCCCGTACAGCCTGGTCACGTGCTGCTGGTCCCACAGTGTGACCTGGGGTCCCTGTACGGCCTGTCCCCCATTGCTTCCACTCTGCCCATGTGTTCACTTTGAGGTCTCCTCACTACACTCCTGTGCTTTTCCATTTTGACATAGGTTTGCTGGCAGATTACAGGCCTCCCATAGGTGCCGCCAGGCCCCAAATCGGCCATGGGCCCCCGTATCGCCTGGGTCACGCTGCTGCTGAGCCCACAGTGTGACCTGTGGGTCCCTGTACCGGCCTCCCATTGCTTCCACTCTGCCACATGTGTCACTTTGAGGTCTCCTCACACTCCTGTGCTTTTCCATTTTGACATAGGTTGCTGGCAGATTACAGGCCTTCCATTAGGTGCCCGCCAGGCCCCAAATCGGCCATGGGCCCCCGTACCGCCTGGTCACGCTGCTTGTGGGTCCCACTGTGTGACCTGGGTCCCTGTACGGCCTCCCATTGCTTCCACTCTGCCATGTGTCACTTTGAGGTCTCCTCACACTCCTGTGGTTTTCCATTTTGACATAGGTTGCTGGCAGATTACAGGCCTCCCATAGGTGCCGCCAGGCCCCAAATCGGCCATGGGCCCCCAGTACCGCCTGGTCACGCTGCTGCTGAGCCCACAGTGTGACCTGGGTCCCTGTACGGCCTCCCATTGCTTCCACTCTGCCATGTGCCACTTTGAGGTCTCCTCAACATCTTGCGGTTTTACATTTTGACATAGGTTGCTGGCAGATTACAGCCTCCCATAGGTGCGCCAGGCCCAAATCGGCCATGGGCCCCCGTACGCCTGGTCACGTGCTGCTGGTCCCACAGTGTGACCTAGGTCCCTGTACGGCCTCCCATTGCTTCCACTCTGCCATGTGCCACTTTCAGGTCTCCTCACACATGCTGTTGTATTGAATTTTTTGACATAGGGTGCTGGCAGATTACGGGCCTCCCATAGCTGCTGCCAGGCCCCTAATCTGCCATGGGCCCCTATATATACGGCCCTCCTCATGCTGCTGCCAAGTCCAGAGTCTCTCATGGGTCCCCTGTACGGCCTCCCATTGCTGCTGTCTCCATCGCCCACACTCTGCCATGTGCCACTTTCAGGTCTCCTCACACACTGCTGCTTTGTGTTGAATTTTTTGACATAGGGTGCTGGCAGATTACGGGCCTCCCATAGCTGCTGCCAGGCCCCTCTAAATCTGCCATGGGCCCCTATATTACCGCCTCCTCATGCTGCTGCCAAGTCCAGAGTCTCTCATGGGTCCCTGTACGGCCTCCATTGCTGCTGCCAGGAGGCCGCAGGTGGTTCGCAGCAGTGTCAGTGGAGGCAACGGCCACGGAGAGTAGAGCACCAGCTCCACTGCAGCCTACCACACGGCCAGTAGTGGTGCGTGCGTGGTGTGCACGGAGGAAGTAGCAGTCAGCAGTGAGGTAGTAGCGGGGGCAAAGTTTCCTACTCGGCGGTGTGGCAATTTTTCGTCAAGCCGCCCGAGGAAAGTAAACATAGCCGTTATGTAGACTATGTGGCCAGAAAGTCAAGCGTGGCCAGGGGGCCATGTTGGTACTACAGCGTTGCGTCAGCATTATGCAGCGTCGCCATTCGGTGGCCTGGGGAAAAACCCGTGATAAAGATACGGCGGTTCTGCATGCCCCAGCCCAGGGTTCCATTTTGTCATTAGGGTGCTGGCAGATTACGGGCCTCCCATAGGTGCCGCCAGGCCCCAAATCGGCATGGGCCCCCGTACCGCCTGGTCACGCTGCTGCTGAGCCCACAGTGTGACCTGGGTCCTGTACGGCCTCCCATTGCTTCCACTCTGCCATGTGCCACTTTGAGGTTCCTCACCCACTCCCTGTGGTTTTCCATTTTGACATAGGTTGCTGGCAGATTACAGGCCTTCCATAGGTGCCGCCAGGCCCCAAATCGGCCATGGGCCCCGTTACCGCCTGGTCAGACGCTGCTGCTGAGCCCACAGTGTGACCTGGGTCCCTGTACGGCCTCCCATTGCTTTCCAACTCTGCAATGTGCCACTTTGAGGTCTCCTCACACTCCTGTGGTTTTCCATTTTGACATAGGTTGCTGGCAGATTACAGGCCTTCCATAGGTGCCGCCCAGGCCCCAAATCGGCCATGGGCCCCCGTACCACCTGGTCACGCTGCTGCTGGTCCCACAGTGTGACCTGGGTCCCTGTACGACCTCCATTGCTTCCACTCTGCCATGTGCCCACTTTGAGGTCTCCTCACACTCCTGCGGTTTTCCATTTTGACATAGGTTGCTGGCAGATTACAGGCCTCCCATAGGTGCCGCCAGGCCCCAAATCGGCCATGGGCCCCCGTACCGCCTGGTCACGCTGCTGCTGAGCCCACAGTGTGACTGGGTCCCTGTACGGCCTCCCATTGCTTCCACTCTGCCATGTGCCACTTTGAGGTCTCCTCACACTCCTGTGGTTTTCCATTTTGGACATAGGTTGCTGGCAGATTACAGGCCTTCCATAGGTGCCGCCAGGCCCAAATCGGCCACTGGGCCCCCGTACCGCCTGGTCACGCTGTGCTGGGTCCCACAGTGTGACCTGGGTCCCTGTACGGCCTCCCCATTGCTTCCACTCTGCCCTGTGCCACTTTGAGGTCTCCTCACACTCCTGCGGTTTTCCATTTTGACATAGGTTGCTGGCATATTACAGGCCTCCCATAGGTGCTGCCAGGCCCCAAATCGGCCATGGGCCCCGTACCGCCTGGTCACGCTGCTGCTGAGCCCACAGTGTGACCTGGGTCCCTGTACCGCCTCCCATTGCTCCCACTCTTGCCATGTGCCACTTTCAGGTCTCCTCACACTCCTGCTGGTTTCCATTTTGTTCATAGGTTGCTGTATGGCCTCCCATTGCTGCTGCCTCCCACCGCCACACTGTGGCTCCAAACACGCTGGTTTTGGCCCCGTGACTGGCCAAATGAGTGAAATGTGCGGTGATTCTAAGATCGACGGCACTCATCTGCATGTCATACTGACTGGACAGTATTATTTCTCTTCCCCAGCAGACTCCAAGGGCATTTAAAATTAAAGGTACAGTGTTCTGCATAATATTAAGTCTCTCTGAAGCCTAGAACACCCTTTTTTAAGTTAAATTCACAGCGATTATATTCGACTCAAATCGAATATTGTCCACGAATTCGCCGAATCAGTCGAATCAATTTTTCAATACTTCGCTCATCTCTAGTGTTGGCTCTCTACAGACACCAGAACTGGAAGGATGACATCGCTGTGGGGTTGGAGATCACTACACCTGACAGCACCATTGCAGTGACGGGTTCTGGAATACTCCACGTTTCAGCACCGGGCACTTTTCTCAGACATTTTGCTGCCCTCATCGATGAACACACAATCAGGTTTTGTTTTTTAATAAAAATACAGATGGTTCTCAACAATGACCAGGGAGAATACAAAACAAATGTTTAAAAAAAAAATTGGCAATATAGGAAACGGGACACTTTGTCCTGCCCTGTACACAGCTCAGCATTTATTGATGGTGATCAGCCAGGAGTGCGAAAGTCCACATTGCTGCCAAGACCGTGTAACATTTTCTTCTCACCGCCATTACTGCTACTGTAGCACTACTATCTCCCAGGAGTCTACTGTCCCACGTCTATACAAAGTTGCTACCTACTGCTGCAGAGTCTCCAGCTATCCCCCCTCAGACTGGAGGAGTCAAAGTGTCCTTTTACTATGCTAGTGACAGAGAAGTGTACTTATGTGCGATGGATTTTGGAGTACTAGACTCCCTCAAGAGTTGGTTGTGGCCAGATCAGTGGATTGCTGTAGGAAAGTCCTGGATTGTTTCTTGGATGCACATAATATAACTGGATATAACATTTATAGGTAAGTTGATCCAGGGAATATCCGATTACCTCTCGGGGGATCAGGAAGGAATTTTTGTCCCTGCAGGAGCAAATTGCATCATACTTTGCTGGTTTTTTGCCTTCCTCTGGATTCAACTGTGGGTGTAGGATAACTATTTTTTTTTTTTTTTATGGTTGAACTGGATGGACTTTTGTCTTTTTTCAGCCAGACTAACTATGTAACTATGTACAGTAACTATGTATCTCACACCCCTTCACCCCTCTTTGTTATAAGTTTTTTCAGCAATAAATTACAAAAAGACATTCCATAGGCTGATTATCGAACCAGAATGAGTGAACTGTTGCCTGTGCTGACTGCTCTGCACTAACCTTGGGAATAACTAGTTAGGATCCGGTGTCTCTATGGGTGCAGCACAACATTCTGCCAAATGAAGAAATGACTTGCTTACCAGCCAGGTATGGTGGAGGGAGATGGTAGAGAGAAGAGGGTAGGAAATGTGAAAATTGGGAGGAGGTGAAGGAAAGGGGATAAAAGCAGAAGAGTAGATGATGAGATGAAAGAGATGAAGTGGGGGGGGGGGGGGGGTTAAAAAGGAAGAAAAAGATGAGGGGGGAGAGAATAGGAGAGGACAGAAGAGGGGTGGGGGCAGAACGGGGTAGGAGAGGAAAGGGGAAAGAGCTGGAAAAATGAGAGGGAAGGAGAGGGAATGGAGAGAAAAATGGCAAAACTAGGAGAAGAATAGAGCAGAATGGAAAGGAGAGAAGCAGAATGGAATGCAAGAGTGAAGGAGGGGAGTGAAGAGTAGAAGAGTAATGGAGAGCAGCAGAAGAGGAGGGACAGGGGATGGGAGAAGTAAGAACAATGAATGAGAAAGGAGAGGAGAGAAGATGGGAGGAGAGGAAAGGACAGGAGATGGGTGAAGAAAGGAAAATGAATGAGAGAGGAGGAGGAGAGGTAGAGGAAAGAAGAGGAGAGGCAGAAGAAAGAGGAGAGGCAGAAGAAAGAGAGGGAGAGAAGAAGATAGGTGAGGCAGAAGAAAGGAGAGGAGAGGAGGGGAAAGGCAGAAGAATGAGGGGAGAAGAGGAGAGGCAGAAGAAAGAGGGGAGGAAAAAAAGATAAGAGGAGAGGCAGAAGGAGAAGAGCGAAAAGGAGAGGAGAGGCAGAAGAATGAGGGGAGGAGGAGAGGAGAGGCAGAAGAGAGAAGAGGAGATGAGAGGCAGAAGAATGAGGGGAGAAGAGGAAAGACAAAAGAGAGGAGAGGCAGAAGAGAGAAGAGGAGAGGCAGAAGAGAGGAAAGGCAGAAGACAGAACGCAGAGGAGAGAGAGAGAAGAGGAGAGGAGATGCAGCAGAAAAAGGAGATAAAAAGGAGAGGCAGAAGAGAGAAGAGGAGAGGCAGATGAAAGAGGGGAGAAGAAGAGGAAAGGCAGAAGAAAGAGGAGAGGCAGAAAAGGAAGAGGAGAGGAGAGGAGAAAGAAGAGGAAAGGAAAGGCAGAAAACAAAGAAGATGAAAGGAGAGACAGAAGAAAGAAGAGGAGAGGCAGAAGAGAGGAGAGGCAGAAGTAAAAGGGAGAAGACAAAGGAGAGGAAAGAAGAAAGGTGAATGGAGGGGAGGAGGGAAACTTTCAAATGGACCATGGCACATGTAATCGTAAACCATTGTATAATACATAAATATTTATGGAGTTATGTTGCCTTGCCTAAAGTAAATTATGTAGAATATCCCCGCATTAGATAATACCAATACTAAAGTGCAATGTGAAAAATTACTAATCTACCAAATGATTCCAATAATACAATAGATTGCCAGGGATTAAATCAGCACCTGAGGAGTCAGACCGATTAAATAAAAAACAATGAAATGAAAAGAAAAAATATATAAAACTTTTTTAAAACTTTCCCAAGTTGCTAGATAAATACTACCCCCCCCCCCCAGGTAGACAAAGGTCACACACCGTATAAATTCCAGCGCTTTACAGTCCATGTTCAATCCTCCGTATGCTCTCACCAGATGATAAAGTTGATCAAGCCCTTCAATCAATATACAGTATATGTGTATCAGTGTATCTCCTCTTCTCTCCAAATGACTTCTCTGTGCCTCTCCCACCATGTAAAAGTATATATAAATCACATATAGTGTATTATCTTCCAATAAAATATTCAATCAAATAATAATTGCACTCACATAAAATAAATAATGTGCCAAGCTCATCCACTGCGTGAAAGAACTCCAGTGTCCATCACCCCTACTCGTACCCTCATTCCAAAATCTTCTTGTGTCTATATAAAAATCCTTCTGCTATTCTTCCTTTCTTCTCTCTTCCAAATGGAGTCCCTGTAAAGAAAAGCTGTATAGCGTAATACCGTTATATAAAGTAAAATAAGTGCATAAACATATGTAATCACCCCAAAATGTGTCTACCATCCACCTGGTGCACTCCACACCTCACTCCTTTTAGACCATGCACCTTACCAGATTTCCTTCCCAACACGGCATATACTGTAAGAATATCTAGATGGCTCCTTCCACTTCTGCACTTCCAAGCAGCGCTATCCCTTCATGAATGTACAAGCCATGTGGAATCAAACAAAATGTCCATAGCGCAGTATATTCTTGAAATAGAGCTCTTTATTGTCCAAAATTGCACGCTTACGATTTAAAAATTATCAGCATACAAAGCCTGATCCAAGACCTTATCCAAAATGGCCACCGATAGACTTCCGGTTTGCGTCTGACGTCACTTTGTGACGTCATTCCTTTGAGGAAATTGTAATGATGAAATGCATCACGATGCTGTTCTATATAGAATGTTCAGGGTTCCCTGCCATAGTGAGCATTCCCCTGAAGTAGGGCTTTCCAGGGACTGGGTTCCAAAGTGACGGACCACAGCACTGGACTTATATAAGCACCCTGCATTAACTCAATACATTGCACCAAGTGCCAATGTGAGTGCCCCATGCAGGATCCAGTGCCTAAAACATTACAGGCTGTCTCCACAGTGTAGGGTCCAGGTACGACTCCCAACCAAGGTTTTACCAAGGTTGCATCAATTAGGATATGTTACTTGTGTGTAAACAAGACAGTGAAGGTTGATTGAAGAATTGGAAGATAAAATGGGAAAGAAAAATAACAAACCTATGAAGCTGGTTTCTCGGAAGATGAAGAGGTTCACCTATAGACATTAGCAAGCAAAGAGGACTCATGGAAAGGGTCAGGATTATAGGAGAGGTGCTCCAAGGGGGCATGGACTCCACTAGACCTCTGAATGCATGCTGTGGTATCTGACACCACACCATCTGTAAAGGATCCTTTAAGTTGTAAGTTGTGAGGAGTGACTACCATGGATTGGACTTGTTTTTCCAGCACTTCCCACAGATGCTCAAATGGATTGAATTCTGGAGAATTTGGAGGCCAAGTCAGCATCTCAGACTGGTTGTGTTCCTCAAACCATTATTGAATTTATCAAACCAGGCTACCTTCTTCAATTGCTCTGTGGTCCAGTTCTGCTGCTCACATGTCCATTGTAGGTGCTTTTAGCTGTGGACACGGGTCAGCATGGGCATCCTGACCGGTCTGCAGCTACACAGCTCCATACACAACAAACTGCAGTGTTCCAACACCTTTCTATCGGAACCAGAATTAACTTTTTCAGCAATTTGATCTACAGTAGCTCTTCTATTAGACTGGACTACAGCAGCTCTTCTATTGGACTGGTCATCCCTCGCTCTCCATATACATCAATGAGCCTTGGCTGCCCATGACCCTGTTGCCAGTTTTCCACTTTTCCGTCCTTGGACCACTTTTGGTCGGTCTTGACCACTGCAGACCTCCCGCAGGAGCTGTAGTTTTTGCTCTAAACCCAGTCATCTAGTTGGGTGTGCACAGTATGATAGGGTTGCATTACAATTTGGCCCTTTTTAGTGCCCCCCAAAACCTTACTCTCACCCATTTTTTTCTGATTTCAACACATCAACTTCAGGGACAACATGTTCACTTGATGCCTAATATATCCCATCCACTGTCAGATGACATTGGCATGAGATAATCAGTGTTATCCACTTTACCTGTCAATGGTCAGAATGTTATGGCTGATCGGTGTAAAAACATAAAACTGTTACATAGAAACTGCATAGAAACGAAGACTGATGTG